CTACCTGACGTTGGGTGAGAATGACTCCAGTTCCTCACCACTTTTGAGATCTGAGGGAACAAAGGCTCAGAGCCATGTAGGAAACTGGGGGAATACTGGTTTCATGCAGTCACAAATGCTCTTTGAGAAGACCAACTGGTGGCTGGGTCTTAGAGTTCAGAGGGGAGAGGCACAGGGGAAGGGCAGGATTAAGGAAAACTCAAGGGACTGATGCTCACTCCAGCTTGTGAGATAGAATTTTGGTAACCTGAACAGATGGCTGAGTGGGAAAACTCCAGAAAAATCTACAAAGCAATAGTTGTATACATCGGTAACTTTTGTCTCTATGCTCTGATGTTTCTGTCACATTAGTGATGTTTCCTCTTGATTCTTCAGTGTGAACTCAGGGTCACAGAATCATGGATACCCAGAGTTGAAAGAGGGATACTGCTGTGCTCACCTGGTCCAGCCCCCCTGCCCACTAAACAGTGACTCTGCACGTCTCCAGTTGCTTCTGCATTGCCTGGATGGGGAACTAAGTCTAAGCAGATGCCATTGCTCAGGCAAGTTGCCTTGTTCCAAAGAGACTGTCTTCACTGACTCATTCAGCTGTCTGTTACCTCTACACAGTGCTGAGTCTCCCACTGCAGACAGCTAAGGCTCCGTCTGCTTTTCTTCCTGAGGCACACCATCACCATTTCCAGCAGGATAAGGATGCTTCAGCCCCTCATTCACTCCATTGGCCTCATCTCAGCATGTCCCTTTTTATTACCAATAGCTTTGGAATATGCCACTTGTGTTTTCATGGTATGCTCCCTCCTCTTGTAATCAAACCTATTCTCAGAAATGACACCAAGCACCTAAGATGCGAGTGACCGACCATGCTTACGCCATTACTAGCCCAGGGCTGTTTATATTTTAACAGGTTCCAAACCTTTAACCAAAGGGATGGCTGGGAATGCTTGGGTAGCAGCTATGGGAAACACTGGGGACAGGAAGAGGCATAAATTTTTCCTGGAGTCCTTAACATCATGCCTGAGACAATTCCTAAATAGAAGACCAACCCAATCAGGTAACTGCCTCGATATGAAAACTGGTGCTATGAACTTAAATGCTCTTTGGCCATCATCCTTGTCTCAGGTGATGCTATTCAGCTGGCCAGGCAAATCCCCATAAAATAAATTCCTTGAAGGCAGGGATGGGTCTGATTTTCTCCTGGCTTACTGTCAAGCCCTAGTTGAGTAACATATTAAGTTCTGTATTAAAAAAATCTGGGAGAATGAGCAAATATGGTCAGACCACAAGGCAGAATTCTCAGGCTCTGAGCATTGGCAGAAAGTACATGGCCATCAACATGAGAGACCAGCTGGGATGGAATAGGGAGAATGGGATGAAGTTGGGGTTATATAGATTTCAAAGGCAAGAGGAAATAGACAACAAAAGATTATGAACACACATGGCGATTCGATTGCAGCCCCAACCCCCAAAGATTTCATAGATCCCAAACTATGATTTCTGAACCCCCAAGTCTGATGCATCTGCTGAGTTGCAGAGGACCCATGGCTGGTGTTTGACAGGGAAGAAATACCCCAGAGAAAGCAGAAAGACAAATGGTGAAAACTGTGAAGGGGAAGGTAAGTGACTTGGAACAGAGGTCACAGAGATTGGCAGTGGGGTGGAGAAAAGCTTGAGTCAGAGGAAGAAAGAGGGGGAAAGAAAAGCATGCTCACACCAATGATTGGAGCAGAATCTCTGAGGGGAAGAGAGAGGTTGGCTTTGTAGGTCCAAAGGCAGAACAATGAGAAAGGACACTTGCGCTTTAAGTTTATAAACAAAGTGGACATCTAGAAAGGAAGGTTATTTTCAAAGAGAAAAAGGATCATGTTTCTAATTTGCAATAGAGACAGGAAATGAAGAAATGGCATTAGCAGACAACTGGGGATCCAATGTCCACACAAAATGCTATTCGCTTGCTGGGGACAAGACTTTGTGGTCATGTGAAGAGTTGCAGGACCTATCACCTGTGCTCTTTCAGGTCTTATTTGAAGAAGACCTTTGAGGGAGTGTTCTAAGGAGGTAACAAGTGGATACACACAAAGTTTGCAAGACAGGATGATGAGAAAAAGAGCAAAGAATGATCAGAAGTCAATGTTCGAGATTAACGGTGAGCTCAAATGGACAAGCACAAGGACAAGGCACGAGGTGTGTTTGAGTATGGATTCTTGCAAAAAGAAGAGACATGTTATTAAAAATGATAAACAGCCCCAAACATCAATATTTTAGAAGTGAGCATTGGGGAGGGGGAGAGAGAAGGGTTATACAAGCTTTAGTGTCTCAGACTGGGAGAGGTGGGGCACGGGAGGATTAGTTATTAGGCATTTTGTTGTTACATGATGAAGAAATAGGCTTTTATTTCAAGTTCTGGGGGAAAGCTGTCTAACTGCTGGTGGAGGGAAAACTTGAAGGTTCAAGACATATTATTCATATTTCCAGGGCTCCAGTTTTCCATGTTTTGGCCTTTTCATTACTGTGAGAGCCTTCTTCCTTGGAAAACTCCATGTTCCCATCAACCCCAACTCTAAACTAGTGTGCCTTTACTTCTTACCACATGTCCCCACTTGTCTCTACTCCATGTCTGCCTAGGAGCCACTCAGCTAGGCCAATTCTATGCACATCTATTGTTTAGGTGCATCAGCATCATCTCTCAACCCTCCTCTCAAAAGACTAAACAACGGCTTGTTTTATGCCAACAACATGTCAATCAGACTCCTCACTTCCAATTCAAACAA